GGGGTGGGGAGGGGGGGGGACGGATTCATTTATTGCTGTCCCAACGACAAGTTTTTCCTGTCCTATTAAAAAATATTTGGACTTAAAATAATTGAACTTCCACGTATAATTTATGGGGGTTAAATTAATATTTAGGGTTTTCTTCGGTTTACAGAAGGAATAAAAGAGGCGAATTAAATGAATTAACAGGAACTTCAACAATCGATAAAAGGTTAGTCAAAAGGCTGATCATTGGCGTATCAGAGAGTTTTCCTTTTTCTCGGTTGGGAAATATTTGTTAATAGGGGAAAGTTTACGTAACCGAATTGCAAATCCAATTATTCGACCTTTGGTACATAATAGTTGCTTGTCAATGGGCTGGAATGTGATTCAGTGGCTTATCTTCTTAACATGGTAGATTTTTCCTTTGGCTCTATGTTCTTAATTTTTTTCATTAATTAAAAAATAATTTAATTAACATTCAGAAAAACAACTAGCCCCTTTACATAAGAATGGCAAGATAAAAATAAGACCAAAGAATTAATTAGAGTGGATCAATGTTGAAACATGTTATTAGTAAAACAACGATTATATTGTACTTTTATTTTTTATTGGCCTAGTTATGCTATTAATATAACTAAAAATGCCCACTTTTGGAAGTAAATCAGTCGGTAGGACCCGGTATTAACCCAAATATAAACTTAATTATTTTGGTAAATGAGTGCATTATTCAAAATTTAAAAAAAACACTTATTTAAGCAGTTAATCAAACGAATGCTGTCTCTATTTGTGCAGATTAATTCATTCAATCCTGGAGAAAATGTACAACTCTTACTACCAGTCGGTGAGTTCGTCTACTACTTTAATTCCTCCCTCAATTTACTCGTTTCTTATCTGATTACCCAGTGCCCAAAAGTTCATCCTGTACTGAAATGACCTTAATGGCCTTAATAAAACTTAGAATAGTGAAATTGCACATTACCATGTACTGCATGCACGTGAATTGATTGGCTGACAATCTGTTGGCCTCAAAGTTCCCCTGACCCCTTCCGCACTTGACCTGACATAGTCGCATTTCGGGTGGTCACTCGCGTCACTAATGCGTATATTTTAACCAATCCGCGTAAGAATTAGTGAGGTTTCATTTATAATATGGTGATTATGTAGTCGGATTGACTTGATTTTAGCTAACACAATAGTGATAGGCAAACAAATGTTTACAAAAAATAATTTGATATATTAATTAGTGGGGGACATTCGATTTCTTTGCGTAAAATATGGAAGCGACGACCTTTTATGACCCGAATATCTTATCCTTGCTATTTATTAACAAAAAAAATTCTATCATATGTCAGGCGTTTCGATGGTTATCACTAGCCCTTTAGTTGACTTCAGGCTTCACAGAGAGGAGGAGGAACATCAAAGTGAAAGAAAGTCAAGAGTGGCGAGGGAACGGAAGAGTGTTTCAAAGATGTAAAAGAGACAGACACAAAGGTAGAAAAATGGTGAGGTGAGTACTGTGAAAGGGGTCAAATATGACATACAGTGGGGTGATGGTAGTTTGAAGTCAGAATTCAACTGTCAGTTAATAGACTTTTTTGCCATATGAATACACGTTGCCCAGGGTGCACCACATAGAGGTAAGTCTATCACACACCCCATTAACAAAAACAATGGATTTAATTTAACTTGGTTATTTTCTTATCTTAATATTTAAATATTCCCCCCTGCCAATGTTGCGAATCTGCTTTATTTTATGCTGAAATTGCGTCCACTTAACACTGCCTAGATCAATCGTGTATTCGGACTACCTCAATATTTAAGCCTAATAGGATTCCGCGAAATTTCAGAAATTTGAATTTCTCATCTTGTTTAGTTAGTAGTGTTCTGTCACGCTAATATATCATGAAATAAATAAATGTTTCAGGTGAATCAGTGAATTTGTCAGAATTGAATTTCATAAGAAAAAAAATACACATCTCTTTTGTCCGGATAATAAAATAAATACATCAGGTTTTAAGCAAAATAAACATATGCTTGTGAATATTTTGTACTTCAAATTTTAGAACCATTTGGAGTTACAACTTCTTAAATGATTAACCTTCCTTCCATTACGTGGATTAAAGACCGTTCATAAATGAAGACGTCTTGCTTGAAGCCGGAATCTATTTGATAAATTTTCTAATGGTACAACTATTCTGAATGAAAACACCGTTCTGATATGTTTCTAATTACTAAAATCGATCATCAGTAATTGTTATAAATGTCGTCAAACACTGACATTATTTAATTTTAAAATTAATTTTCGCATTTCAGGGCCCAAAGCAAGAAAGGGTGTTTGGGAAAAAACTGTTTCGATTTAACGTTCCATTAAACCATCTTGTGGGTTTCTGAACTAACTCTCACCGCTTTCAACACCCATTTTTTTCCAAAACTTATATTATTATAAACTACTACTATTTATTATTAGCACGAAAACTAAAATCTGTGCCCTCTCTATGTCTCTAGCATGGTTCAATAGTTGGTATAATTGATTAATTAGTATTTCCCATTGTATGTTCGATTTTTAGAATTCAAATCGAGCAACTTCCGAAACCAGGGACATATATGTAAGACGCCAATATTTTAGCGTTGAATTAATTAGTTTTGTTCTTGAATGCACGAAATTGAAACAGCATGTGACCTCTTTGCGAAAATATTGACTTGTGTGTCTGAGGATTAATGTGTCATTACTTTGAGCCGTAATCAAAAGCATGTTTGTTAATTGGATGCTTTGGGGTGGGGACAAAACCCGATTGGTTAATCCTACTTCAATAAATTCTGCTAACTTAAATGTAAAGCAGTCAAAAATTAACTTAACAGTGGGTTCAAAACATCATTTGATTGGTTAGGGAAAACTTTGACGGGTGTGAATGCTTGCAAATATGTGAATTCAGTGCAAGAAATCATTAATTTGTAAGCCTTATGCCTTGAGTTGTGCGAAAAATGAGAATTAAATATCGAGTAGTTAACAGAAATATTGAATAAAAAATGATTATTGCTTTATTAAAATAGTATTGTAGCTCAAATTACTGCCACAATAGCGCCCATACACCTCTCCGAAAGCGTGTCTCGATTATTGGCTTGAGTTTGGCTACCCTGGTTCACAGTGAAACTTATCTAGGCTGTTGGAGACCCCAATTACTGACTTTGATAAGCGTGGCATTCAGGGAGATTGAGGCCTCACCGAAATAATTACTCGTAATGAAATTAACATCATCAAAACATACAGGATAGAATTCTAGAGGTTTTGTGTATCCCATTTTTTTATTCACATCATGCAGTCAAACTCATTCAAATCATTTGATAGTTTATCCCTTGGCAGAATGTGAAAGCAAAATGTGAAGAGTTTGAAGGCGAAATTGAAGATTCCTAATTTAATCCACTAGAATATCTGTGAGAAAAATCGATAAAGTTTAAAAATATGTAGTATGTCTCACTTAAGCTTTCCACTATATGAATTAATGGAAAAATTATGAAAACTGAATAAATTTGATCGAGATTTTGAATTTTACTGAGGTCTCAGTTTTGTTAAATTCTCCAACAACTGCAAACCCATTCGTGAATTCGAATTAATAGTACGCGAGTTAGCCCATTTAAAATAACCCAAATTATTTCGCATTATCGATTCTTATCAAAGCACCTTCGAGTTTAGCATTTTACAGTGCTTGCACTTTAAGTGTTTCAGTTCGCCTTTAAATGTCACCTCCAGGAGAAGGCAACCAGCGTCCGGAGAAGAAGAATGAAGTGGAAGGTTGAATTAGGATTAATATCAAACACTTTCAGTCTAAAACAGTTTCATAAAAAAACTAATCAATTTTAGTGGGCATTAATGCCAATGATTATTTCCTCGGAAAACGATCCTCTTTTTACAATCTTATCAGAAGTAGCGCAATGGAAAGCATTTTTTAAATTTAAGTAGATATTTTATTAGTAATTAAATACTAGAGTTTAATTTCAATGAAAAAGAAAAGTTTGCAGATTTTTTATGATGCTTTGCCTATTTGGCGCATAAGTTTTCTTGAATAGGGTAATTACAGTAACTTAATTAAATTTTTTTCTATTAATTAATTAATATGGACTCAGAAAATGCTGTACTTTGATATTTACATGCTTATTTAACTGATAATTTAACTTATTAGCGCTATTTAAAAATTAAGAAACTTAGGTTTAAAAGGGGGGTAATTATTAATTAATTTTTACTTAGAATGAAAGTTATCAGCTCAATACTACATGCATTTCATATTGTACATAATAACTATCTTATTTATTTAATAAAAAAACTATTTTGCTCTATATATTTTGGGGACCCTTTTAGATAAATATTCGAATGAATTACAAATTTCACTAATGTATTTAAAAGAAGATAAATAATTTCTAATAGTCCCTTTATGGATTCTTATTGAATTTCATGAGCCAAATATAGTTAAGATAGCTGATCAAATCTCGCATTTCGCCTTTTCTATCGGCTTTGATGCAGTGTCATTGTTAATGGCGAATTTGCTTATAATTCTTTAATCTGAAGCCTTTCATACTCTTTCCAGAGCGTATCGGAGAATCAGGAGCAATACCGTCAGATGAATGCTCCCCAAATGGGTAATGACGACGATGAGGTGGACTACAGCTTCTCAAGAATGTCCGTTAGGGAAAGAAGGAAGTTGTTCCAAGCCGATGAGCCTAGGATCATCAATCAGTATGGAACATGTACGTCTAGCTTCACATCTTATACCTGAATTCAATCGGAATGTAAATATAGCACAAGTTTATCATTGCTTGGTAGATTACAGATTTCAAAAGAGTTAACCCCGGTTTATTATTATAAAAAATGTTCAAATTTTCCAAATACCTCGAGGTAGATTTGAGTATCTATTATTTTTATTTATGATCGATAGAATTTAGTCAAATTGATAGCGAAAGAATTTATTGACCTCCAATTATTGAACAAATTTTTTAATCACTGACGTGTAGAAAATCATCCTCTATGCACTATTTCCACGCATTTTTTTTAACTCAACAACATTGACTCAAAATTAGGAGCCAAAATGCTCAAAATGATTAATTTCGGATAATATACGGATAAATGGAGTATTTTTCCCGATATAAATAAAATCTTTTCTCCTCGAGTTAAAAAGAGTTGACATTTTAATAAGGTCATTAGTCTCATCACGATATCCATCCTATCAACTGTATTATGGTTTCGCAATATCTATTTACGGAAAATGTATTTCTTCATTGCTTTAATGGCAGTTTTTAATTTCTCCTATTCTATGATACCTTTAAATTCCCATCAAGAATAAAGCAATATAATGGCGTCAGAAATAAGGCTTATCAAGTCAGCAAAGAAATGGAAGATTTCAATACTACATCACATTATGATTTTAGTGCCTCGAGGTCCGGTAAGCCGAAGCGTACCCCGTTTCAATGGTCCGCCGTCCAATTATTCCCAGTCTTCAAATCAGGACTTCGTCTTTCGTCAAGCGCAAGCTCCCGTTCAGTCACGTCCAAGTTGGAGCAATGTCTACACCCAGCCATCACCTCGTCGCAACTCAACCTTTGACTTCCGTCCACAGAGCGTTGTCTCTTCTACGCGTCCTGTTGACCTGAATTCCGTTCAGCGACCCACACTAATTGAGGTATGTCACATTATGCCAAAGCAAGAAACGTGGATGAGCATGGATATTTGCAAGCATTCATAGTGGGAAAGTTATTTATGTTAGTTATTTATATCAAATGGCATGCTTTATGATTATTATCATAAGTCAGTTAGTGTTGATTTCCGGCTTCACTGAGGAGAGGAACATCAAAGTCACGAAAAGTCGAGTGGGGGGAACAGAAGAATGATTCACAGGTGTAAAGAGACAAACATAAAGAAAGGGAAAAAGGTAACGTGAGCACTGTGGAAGTGATAGAAAATGACATACAATGGGGTCATTGTAGTTTGAAGTCAGAAGTCAACTGCCAATTAATAGACTTTTTACCGTATGAGTATACGTTGCCCAGGGTGTACCACGTGGAGGTAAGTCTATCTCGGTTCTTTTAGCTAAGATCATATGTAGTGGGAAGGAAACGTCAATTATTTATGGGCTGTATTGAGATAATGAGTGGTATAAGGCGCACATCTTCAAAGGATACAAATGTTACTGATAGCCAAAACTGGAAAAAATTGCCGTCTGCCTTTATAGCCATCGACCATTCAGGAAAATAAGTTAACTAGGTTGGTAATTGATAAATAATTGACCAATACAGAATCTTCAAAAGATGATATTTGGTGTGAGATGGCTGTGATTTGACTGTCGCAGAAAAATCACGGACAGATAAGACTGCGATTTTACCCCCCATGCTATGGTATACCTTGCAATAAAAATTGAACCCTTCCTAATACCTAACGGAAAGCCATGCTTCCTTCCTCAAAGTATTTAAGCTCCAATGGAGTTAAGGAAGTTTGTTTATTCCGCAGGCAAGTGATAATGTGATAGGGTTTAAAATTTTGACAAAGGGAAGTAGTAAGTAAGATTTTTCTCTGGCTCAATATTCACCACCTTAGTCCAGAACAGCTTCGTGCTACATATCTAAGTGAATGAAAACGTTTCCAGGAGTGTAATTCAACGGTTTCCTTTCGTCATTATTCTTCCTAAGGTCAGACAAGGAGGTATTCGTCTTGTTGACTTATCTGCAAATGGTTGAATTGTCTTCCATTTAGCCCTGACAATTTAAAAAATTCAAAATACTATGAAGACAAAAATTTATAAAATATTGCAAAATCGGTGTCCTCAACGGTTGAGTAGCCGTACAACCGAAGACGATGCGATTCTTCTATTTCGAGGGGAAGGTAGGTATAAAATTTGGGTTCCTTTTTATACTAAAGTCCCATTTTATCCACAAAAAGTATCGAAATCCATGACAATAAAGTAAAATCTAAAACAACGGTGTTTATTATCACAAATCATTCATCCTCTTTCAGCCATATTCACAGCCATCTTATTCACCAAATCGTCAATCTCGCTCAATTTATCGATCGACACCGACTGTGATTCAAGCAGGGGATCAACCTATCTATCCTTCTTCACCTCAATCAGTCGCGTACGGTTCTTCACCAACACGGGTAATACGAAGGACAAGCTATTCATCTAGAACGGTGCCCAGGGATTCGGTATCTGTTTTTCGAGAAAGTTGGCCCTCCCATCAATCACAGAACTCTGCTCAGCCGTTGAGAGTTCGAGTCTATAACAGGTGATATTTTCAATTCTAAAATATGACCACTACTGAAATTGAAATGGTAGTCATAAATTTACATATATTTTCAGTGACAGGTCTGTTTCATCTCCGACATATCATCAACCTCCACAATCCACCTATTCACAGTTCTCTCCCGTGTATCCGGCCTATCCAGCCTATGGACCACGTCCAACTTCAAATGCGTCTCAAGCATATCGAGTAGTTCAAAGTCCTAATCGACCGTACCCGCAAACGATCAGTACTAGTTACGGTTACCCATCGTACAATTACCAACCACCACCTGCTACATCACATGTCTATGTACCGCTAACGCCAAGCCATCGTCGTACTGTCTCAACACCTCAATTTCCACCAAAATCAATAACAATTTACCCAACGATTCGGGATCGTCAGACAGTAGAACCGCCTCGTCAAGTGTATCAGCAGATGACATCTCCACGAGCTCCACCCCAACGATCTGATTGGACAGTATTGCAACCAACCAGAATCGCCCCTTCTCAGATCTCACCCAACCAGAATCGACCATCTCTGTTCGGTCCACCAGCACGGCAACAACAATACCACCAACCTAATCCACCTCCACCTCCACCACACCAGGGTCGTGGAATGACCTTGCCATCGCGACCTCGTCCTAAAGTGGTGAATAGACGTGAACCACCACCTCCAGATGATGATATTGGTGCCACAGAGTTCTAGAACAAAAAAATATAACTAAAATTTTCGGCTGCCTTTCTGTTTCATTCTTCTTTCAGCAATCAATAGTGTGCCTTCTTTGTCAAGTACCGTTTCCATGCTCTTCCGCCACCCCCCCCCCCCCCCACCTTATTCTTATTTATCAACTTGCGTGAATAACCAAAATCTGCTATCTCCTCTATAAGTATTCAATTGACCAAAAAGTGACTTTCTGTTCCAGTTTTCGATTTGGCTGATATATATATATACATGAATGAGGAGAAAATGAACGGTAACTAGATATACTTCCGCTTCGGGGGGGTTTGTGCTTTGTATGGAATCATCTCTTCATTACAGTACCCCGTGTCGTGAATGAAAATACAGATCTGATCTGGTCCCACCTGTGCTTTGTTACTTCTCTCTCTCTCTCTTCTGCGAGCGCTTTTCTCCATCAAGTTGCTGATGCGCGCTTAAACCCAGCCGTTTTTTTGTGATTCTTCCACTACGTGACCAATCTCCTTGAAGTACTCCTCTGTTACTCCACATCCCACCTCTTTTGTCCATGCTTTTATCTGCTAGGAATAGAGTGATTATTTTCAAATTTGCCTTCTTTAATTCGAGTACTGATGCTTAGCATTAATGGGTACTTTTAAAATATAAGTAGGATGTTGGCTTATGAACAAAGAAATTGGAATCTCAATAAACGAAATGCTTTATAAACTGGCCTCACTGGTTAGCATGCCAGTCATGAGACTAATGTGAACCGATGCCTACTCAGTCTTGTGGGATCTGCCTTGATCAAATTTGATTAACTCGAGGGTGTGTAGAGTTTGAGTTGCCTTAAGGGCCACTCCGAAGTGCCTCAGAGTGGCAATTTACTTCTCAAAAAAAGCCCTTTCGCTATTTATTTAATGGAATAATTTAAAAATGCAATGGAGACGTGTCTTAAGGGGCCCTTCGGTGGATTTGCTGACGTTGTTAAAGTTGTTTGTAAATGAGTGGACCCACTTTGGTAAAACAAGACGCCCCATATGTTGTTCAACGGGCTATGACAAATCTCTAGACTACTGTAACGAGGTAGGAAACTTCATTGAAAGTAATGACAATGCTATGGGAATACACTTTTTCCTCATATCATTAATGCCAATTATCTAACACCGCCAGGCTTTTGACCCCATTCGCCCCCCCCCCAAATATCCTCCACTCTTTCAAGACCGATGTTCGCCCGCACGCCAGGATTGAAAAAATCATTTAAGTAAGCTGAAACATACTCGATGCCTACAACTTTGGAAAGAGGGTATCTAGCTATCAAAAAATACCTTAACATAGATCATTTTTTAACTCATCACTTGTTGCCTTAGTGATGTCCGATATGCACAATTTTTTATAGGTTTAGAAACAAGTACGAACTTCAATAAATCCCTGTAGGCGCGGAAGTCTAAGTGACAAATGGCATTTGCCACACCTTCAACCACCCCCCCCCCCCCACCTCCCACCCCACCCCCATCTGAAAGTGGATCGAGCCCATTTTTCACTACAAATCACGTTTGTGTGAAATGATTTGAATTAGCACGTAAGTGCGATTACATTTAAAGGACTTGTATAAAGTGCACTGCTATAAGATCAGTTGGAAATTGGGAAATGCAGCCACGACGAATTTATTCAAGGAACCAATTGAATATTGAACCAATTAACATTGAGTAAAAATGCTTTCTAATTAAAGAAAGTGGATGATCTAGGCTGGATGATCTATCATTAGGCATTAGTGTCAAAAGGCCAAGTTCAAATGTTTAAGATGAACCTTTTATTTAAAAATAAAAATTTAACGAATTAATCAGGGCTAATTTGAAGATATTAATTAAAATCACCTTGAATATCTGCAAAGTTTTAAACTCTTCATGTATGCGAATGTCACAAGCAGATCGCAAGGGTGTGTTTTGATGTTCTTCAAGGAAATAGACGCTATTTTGTAAAAAATCCTGCCTTTAATGATTATCGTTGAAATACCAAAATATAATAGTTGGAAATTTTGTCAAATTCTGGTTAATTTTTCTCCACAAATGTATCGTCAAGGTGTTTCAACTCATCTTCATTGGCGGGAAAAAATTGCGCGCTGAAAGTTAATCAAGTTGTTTTGAAAGGAAATGAAAGGACATATGTTAATTAGAAAGTACAGCTCAAGAGTCATGGAGAAGGAAGGAATACTTTACCTCGAACTGTAACGATAAAAATAATTATCATTAATTATCAGGAGAAAAATACACGACTTGCATATTGAAGTTCTGCAAGGTGACATGAGTTTGGGAGGTGACAAAGGTCATAAATAAGGTTCAAATGTGGGGAAATATGGGCCTTTGATCTGGAACGCATTGAATGACAAGGTAAGTTAATCGTAATTGGCTTGTAGAAATTACAATCACACAGAAATGAGCCAATAAGCTTAAACGAGAAATATTCATTATGTTAATTGCATGGATGTTACATGTAGGCCAACGCCTAAAGACATTTTGATAGGTCTTAAAATCCACAAATACTGCAAAACTCTGTTTGGATTTGTTTCTTCTAAACACAATATAAAGTATGTACTAAAAACCTCAACCAGCAACATGATGGAGACAACTTTGGAGTACTTCAACTCACCTTGGTGATAACTCGAGATAGGTAAGAAAATTTTAGTGGCATTTGCGACAGGTGGACTTGACAGTCAAGTTTCCCTTTATATTGAATTCCGGACGATCCTCGTTTGAAAGTGGGGATTCTCACATAGTAAAGAATGAAAATGTCTGAATTGGCTATCTAGCACTTATGGCATATGAAAGCGCTATCATCAAAGGGAATTCCTATCGGTTTTCCTTCTTCATTCAAAAGTATGCGGATCGATTTTCCAACTGACCAATTAATCCCTTCTAGTAATTAATAATAGTCGCGATAACCGCTTCGGACAGTTGTGGAATTTTAGTACCTTCTACAAGGCATTCACTGCGGTATTCTCTACTTAAGGTAACTCTCTTATTGCTTTTGATGTTTTGGCTTATCACCATTCCAATGTGTTTCTTCTGAGAACCTGATTTACAGCAACTTGACAACTTGACAAACAAACCCACCGTGAATTTCTTCAACTTCTCTCTGCCTTTCTCTACATTCGTTTAAAATCACTAAATCCGGTTGCCAAGGGCATAAAATCACACGGTTTGCGCGTTCTCTATTTCGCGCGCGCTCTCTCTCTCTCGCAAGTAGCCAGTTGTTTTCTCAAGGTCACGTGATACAGAAGGTCAAAAGACCAGATTCGCACTTACCCTCACTGTGCAAAATCATGTGAACTGCAGCTGTTTACTTAGATTACGTGACTGACACGTATTGATTATTTTGATCTGTAGAAAAAGCTCTATATTGCCTACTTCCCATGCGCAAGAAACTTTACAAAAAATGTGTTTTTGTTTCTAACTGAAGTGGTGCTATTTGAGCAGGTTAAAATCGTTGTTTTAATAAAAAATTTATTTATTTATATCAAATGGCAGGCGTCTTGATGGTTATCATTAGCCCTTTAGTTGACTTCAGGCTTCACAGAGGGGAAGGAACATCAAATTGAAAATAGTCGAGAGGGGAGGAACAGAAAAGTGTTTCAAAGATGTAAGAGACAAATATAACAGTAGAAAAAAAGGTGAGGTGAGTACTGAAAGAGACAAACACAAAGATAGAACAAAGGTGAGGTGAATACTGTAGAGAGACAATGGTAGAAAAAAGGTGAGGTGAGTACTGGAAGAGACAAACACAAAGATAGAACAAAGGTGAGGTGAATACTGTAGAGAGACAATGGTAGAAAAAAGGTGAGGTGTGTACTGTGAAAGGGGTCGAATATGACATACAGTGGGGTCATGGTAGTTTAAACAGACACAAAGGTAGAACAAAGGTGAGGTGAGTACTGTGTTACACGAAGGTAGAGAAAAAGGTAAGATGAGTACTGTGGAGGCTTAGAAAAGGTAGGAAAAAGGTGAGGTGAGTACTGTGGAAGATACAAATGTAGAAAAAAGGTGAGGTGAGTACTATGGAAGTATACAGACTCAGAGGTAGAAAAAAGGTGAGGTGAGTACTGTGGAAGTAGACTAATATGCCATACAGTGGGTCATGGTAGCTAGAGTCAACTGAAGGTAGAAAAAAGGCGAGGTGAGTACTGTGGAAGTGGTGAAATATGACATACAGTGGGGTGATGGTAGTTTGAAGTCAGAGGTATATGACATACAGTGGGGTGATGGTAGTTTGAAGTGAGAAATAGGTAGAAAAAAGGTGAGGTTAGTACTGTGGAAGAAGTCGACAGTAGAGCAAAGGTGAGGTGAGTACTGTGGAAGGGGTCGAATTTGGCATAGAGTGAGGTGATGGTAGTTTGAAGTGAGAAGTCGACTGCCAGTTAATAAACTTTTTTGTCGTATGAATATACGTTACCCAGGGTGCACCACGTAGAG